CCGGCTACAGTTCTCATTTCCCCTTAATCAATACTTTTAATTCATATAATTCTAATTCTTACTATTAAAGTAGTCAAAAATCACAGAGATCCTGTGTTATATTCCTGATGAACAGTGAAAAGGTATATTCAAAGCAGTGGGGCTTCAGAAACTTCCCCTTCTCTACTGTTGGAGATGATGGGGGTAATCCTTTAATGAAACAATAGTCTGGCTTTATACCCAAGCCAAAAGGTTATCTGTTTTTAAAATATTGTGAAATAATAATCCACAATTATAGGTGGTGTAACTAAATCAGAAAATGGGCTGATTTTCAAAGCTCAAAGGAGAATACAGATTAGCTATGAACAGGGTGACAACAGGTTATGTCGGCTGTCTTTCTGCAAATGTCAGTAGGGCCCACTTATTCCCTAGGTTTTGGCTAACACATCCAATGGTCATGCAGCTATGAATACATTACAAACTCAGGTTTGGCAAGGATATGCTTTTATGAGAAAGCTCAATCATACAGAGGTAGTGATATATAAGTTAGCAAGAAATGAAAAATAGATAAAATAAGTTCTGATTCTAATTTGCTATTTGTTTTGTAGAAAGTCATGGAACTAGGAAATAATTATTTAAAAATGCCGAGATATTTAAAAGCAGACTAAGCTCTATGTCTCTAACTTTTCAGCAACATGGAGGGTAGTCACATATACTCTCATGTGAAAACCCTCAGGCTGTCATCAGAAACTGAATATAATCTGAAAAGGGTCACTGCTAAGACTCACTGTATATCCGTTATCTCTACTTTACTTTCATACTCAATGAAGCAGCACCTCCTATACAAAAATCACATGCTCACATAAATTTTTGCTTTCATAAAGTTTTCTGTTAGTCATAAACAGGAAAAAACAGTAACCTTTAATTTTTGCAGTGAACTGAGTCTAGTGTAGAGGCAATGCTTGGGAAGCTCCTTGGACACTAAATAGCTGCCGGTTTCTTCGGGTGTCCCTTTATTTGCATCTTTTGGATCAATATCTAGGTCCTGTGAAAATCAGCGAACGTTATTAGTGAAATCACAACATTGTCTAGACAATAAAAATCTCAACAGGTCTTGCTCTCTCATGAATACTGGCCTAAGTAGGCAATCATTTATCCAGGACTAAAGAAACAATGTTCTAGGAATAACAGGAATCTTAAATTTTGTGCTGGTACATGTAAAATGTTAGCTCTAAAGGAAGTTACTTTCAAACGATCTCTAGAAACACTTCTTAACCTACTCAAGATTCTTTTTAAGTTTGAGCCCCATGTAGTGTTTCCTGGATTCTCTCCTTCCTCATTCATCACTTTTGGGAAGGGGTATAGAATTTATGTGACTCGTATACTTAAGAAGAATAAATGGATACACCAAAGACTGCCTTTCCGTTTATCTTCTTTTAGAGCAGTGGTTCTCAACCTATGGGTCATGACCCCTTTGGGGGTCGAATGACCCTTTCACAGGGGTCGCCTAAGACCATCTGAAAACACATATATGATTACATATTGTTTTTGTGATTAATCACTATGCTTTAATTATATTCAATTTGTAACAATGAAATTGGGGGTCACAACATGAGGAACTGTATTAAAGGGTCAAGGCATTAGGAAGGCTGAGAACCACTGTTTTAGAGCCAATCTTTAGACATTTCTAAACTTGACAAATTTAAGGTATGCTGGCGATTTGTTTTCAAATAATATGACCATTGTTACTAAAATTCAAATAAGTACTTACATATGTTCTATATATGTACACATATTTATTTTATATTTACCATCAACTTCAAATTTTCCAAAATTTAGTCTTTAGTAATAAGGATATGTCATTAATTTTAAATAATAAAAAAAGGAGAGCCTTACAAGCGGAAAATCGGTAACATAGGCATCGCACATTATTATATCCGGTGGTTTGTGGACGATACTTGTGTAGATTATCATGACGTTGGAAAACTCAGCCGCAAATCCTAACTGAATCTGAACACCACATTGAAATTTAAGACACATACTTTCAGGAAGTTCTGAAAAAGAACAGTAAGAATAAAAAATATTTAAGGAGTGCTTGGTAAGTTTTCTGATGGCAAACAACTAACAAATATTCTTTCTTTTAAAATTTTATTTTATTTTTTACAGTATTACAGACACCTCCCATTTTCTCCCTTTTTGCCCCCCTCCACCAAACCCCTACCCTACCCCAGGCCTTTCCCATGCTATTCTCTGTGTCCATGGGTTATGCATATATGCATGTATGTTCTTTGGTTAATCTCTTCTTGTCCCCTCACCTCTACCCCACCCCCGTCCACAAAGGTCTGTTATTCTGTTCCATGAATCCATACCTCTGGACCTATTTTGTTTGTCAGTTTATTTTGTTACAAATATTCTTTATAGGGCAAAATACAGTTAGAACACTTTCTTTTGTTTAAAATTGTTATATAATTAACAAATTGCTTGAAGACATACACAATTAAAAAAAAGAAAAAAAAACAAAAGCCCAATATTCTGCTGGTCAAGTAAATAAAAATCTTTCATTCACTGTTTTCTTATGGTTCTTGTCCCTTCACATATATAATTTTTATAGTGGTAATCAAAAATATGCATACAGTTGTAAATATATTTTTCCTGTAGCTGCAATTTTCATGAAAATAGCATTTAAAAAAATTTTTTAGCACCAGTCCATCATGGTTAATCTTGGATTTTAATAATATGTTTTTATTGATTTGAGAGAGAGAGGAAGGGAGAAGAAGAAGAGGGGAAAAGGAAAGGAGGGAGAGAAACATCATTGTGAGAGAGAAACTTCGATAGGTTCCCATAACCTGGGTAAGTGCCCTGACCAGGAATCCAACCTGTGACCTTTCAGTGCACAGGACAATGATCAACCAACTGGCCAGGTTGGAAATAGTTTTTAATAAAGCATAATGTCACTCAATGTTTTCTTACCTTTAAAATTTTGCTACTGCTAAATATAGTATTTCTGGGCTTTATTGTTTTTGTATTGTAGTAATTTCTTATATATACTAAATTCTTTAGCGTTGTTGGATATAACTCTTTGATGGTGCCTCACAATTGTGACAGTTTTCCATTTACATAGAATATAACTATAATATAGTTTTTCCACAACATTTCCACAAGGAAATATTTTCAAAAAGTCTGCCTATTTGATGGGGTTAAAAAAAAGAACTTATGTCAACATAGATTTAATTTTCTTTTCTATAATGACTATTTTAGTTGGTTATTTTCTATATTTGTTTCTTAATTACTAATATATTCTCAACTATGTGAATTGTTGAATTTGCATTCTTTAATTATTAAGGGGGGTCTTAATGTTTTAATTTTACTATTTTGCATGAGCTCTGTGTTATAAAAAATTATCTACTTATCAAATTTGTTACAAATTTGATTTTCAAGTTTCATTTTATAAAAAGGTTTTGTTTACTGTTGATCTTTACTACTATGATTTTTGTTATTGTTGATTAGAGATTTTTTGAAGGAAGAGAATAAATTTCAATTATCCAATTATCTGTAATGTCAAGATAATTTATGGCATTTTACATTTTAATATGTTAATTTAACCAAAAATATATTCTCATATATTATAAAAAATATATAGTTGTTCAACAAATACAATTATTTTCAATTATCCATAAAGAGGGATTCACAGCATAGATATGTGGACATAGAAAATCCCAAACTCTTTATTTCAGTCAATAATTTAAACGTATTTTTTCACAAAATCACGAAGAATTACCAAAGGTAATTAAGTTGCAGATATGAATGCTACCTCACCTTCCTTTTCTCTTCATCACCAATCCACTTACTCTTTCAAGTGTCAAAGACAAAATGCTCAATGATATTTATGGGCAGATAGTATTTGCAGACGACCATGTGTGTCTTGTTACATGTGTGATCTCAATCAATATCAACAGCCCTATCCAGTAAGTACTATTTCTTTTACCCATTTTATAGATAACATGTTTATTAAGTGGTAGAGATAGGATCAGAACCCAGGCTTGTCTGAATTTTGAAACAGAACACAACAGTTCACATATAGGACAATCTAAGAGATGGCACACGAGGTAAATTGAAAATTATTTTTTAAACTAGAGGCCCAGTGCACGAATTCGTGCATGGGTGGGGTCCCTTGGCCTGGCCGGCAATTGGGGCCAACTGGGGCTGGTCAGCTCGGGGGAAGGACCATGGAAGGCTGGCTGGCCGTGGGAGGTTGGCTGTGGGAGCGCACTGACCACCAGGGGGCAGCTCCTGCACTGAGTGTCTGCCCCCTGGTGGTCAGTGCGTGCCATAGCAACTGGTCGACTGGTCTTTTGGTCATTCAGTTGTTCGGTCGCTTAGGCTTTTATACATATAGATGATTATATTCTAATTTTGCCAATGGTGAAAATAGTGAATTAAATACTATACTATTTCCAACACCAAATAAATCAGTAATACCTGTAACCAAAAAATTTGTTCAGTTTTATGTTTGTCCAATTGGCTAAATTATTTTCACTGCAAAATTGGGAGGGCCCTGCCTGGTGCAGCTCAGTTAGTTGGTTTCGCCAAAAGGTTGCTGGCTTGATTCCTGGTCAGGGCACATGCCTGGGTTGCGGGCTTGATCCCTGGTAGGGGGTTTTTAGGGGCCAGCCGATCAAAAAAATTTTTTTAAATATATTTTTGTTGATTTCAGAGAGGGAGAGGGAAAGAAAGATAGAAACATCAATGATGAGAGAGAATCACTGATTGGCTGCCTCCTGCACACCCCCTACTGGGGATCAAGCCTGCAACCTGGGCACGTGCCCTTGACTGGAATCAAACCCGGGACCCTTCAGTCCACAGGCTGACGCTCTACCAGGGTCAGAGCCAAACCAGGTAGGGTTGATAAATGTTTTGATGTTTCTCTCTCTCCCCTTTCCTCTCTCTTTAAAAATTAATACTTTTTTTTTTAAATGGGAGGAAAGCTGTATAATTAGGAGGAAAAAACTTTATGATTTAATATAAGCACATTCTAGAAAGAGCTCACAAAAAGCAGCCTGTGCTGTACCGTGTGCCTTGGCCCACTGCAGGTTCCGCACCAGAGACTCTGCAGAGTACGCGGTTCCTTGTATTGGATCAGTCAGTGCTCTCTTTTCAGACAAGCTACTTCGAATCTCTAGAGCCTGTTTGCCTTTGGTGAGATGGCATTTACCCATATCTAAAAGATAAGAAGTAAATATTATTTTTTAGAACATAATCCTTTCATTACCTTTTAAATACTTAGGTCAAGAACTCTCCCATACATCAGGTTATGTTCTCAAGAGCATTTATGCTCAACCAATATTTACTAAGCACCTAAGTGTGTCAGGCATGGCTAGGATGTGGCAGGGAGCAAATATAAAATTACTGAACCGGTTCGCTTCTAAAGGCCCCTCTCTAGCTTTTATCTCCTATAATTCTAATAATGCACCCTTACTAGTAATATTCTAAGCCTTGAAATTCACAAAGAGCTGCAAAGTATATTTCTTCACTGAAAGGGTACTTTTATGTCTATACTCTGCTGAGAAACAGATTTAGTTAGTAAACATGACTACACATCTATGAGAAAGTTAAGATATCCTGTCTTTACCACAGATTTCTTTATTTTTAACAAAGGAAATTATGTGTTAAAACCACCAGCAGGGTTAAGGCACCGCCACTGCCCGCCAGCCGTTACCCCAGGTACTGAGCATCCTCCCACGCACATTTCTACTCGTGTGGAGGTGTTGGTAAGCAGTGTGTGTCCATGTCTCAGGTTCTGAACTTAACACAAATGTTATGCCATATCTATGCTTGGTTTATATCATATATGGGTGAACTGATGTTTTTTATTAAGTTTTTAAAATAGTTAAGTTATATTCAAAATACAAAATTACAATAAACCATTTTAAAGTTTCTGAAGCACCTTCATAGATCTGTTTGAAAATAACTGACTTACTTTCAAAGGCTTTTTTTTCAGCAGCAGAAACTTTTCTTCAAATAAGAGCTTAAATAGAAGCTCAATATGTAAAACAGGTAAAAGCAGAACTTGTTTGGTTGAAGGAGGTCTGAGCCCCAGCTGTCTATGTTGAATGGGAAAGTGGTTAAGTCAAGTGACCCAGCTATAAGATCTGCACTGATAGCAACATGACAATAAACAAATGTGACTAACAGCTGTTAGTGAAGCATTCAGACACTTTATATTCAAACTGCCATCTTTGGAACATGAAACTCCAGTAACTAGTTTGCAAAAGAATTGCCTTCTTTTTGATACGGCTTATAAAATGATATTTCAAAAAATACATGTCAATCTACTGATGTAACACTACCTATTTAGTACCTGACCCAAGCACAGCATGTACTGGGCTGACAGGGAAGGGAGTGGAAGGAAATGAAAGACCTGGTGTTACATCTCTAGGATCATGTACTTAACACGTTAAGCGCCATGTCAGTCACCGGTGACTGAAACGGAAAGGAAGACGAAACAGGCTTGGCGCTTAATGTGTTAAAGCAAAAATTTAAAACCATTAAGTTCATCAAGAAAAAAAAATGAACCCAGTTTTTTTCCACTAGGGCCTCAAAATTTCTGTAAAGTTTCATCTGTCTGAT